TGGAATACAGTTTACATTACATATAGAATACAGTACTTTAATGCATTTGAATAATGATCTAAATCCCTGTTTATTCACAATATTTTCATTTAAACGTGGGATGCGTAGCATCAGAAAAGTGAATATTAGGGCTCCCACTCGTGTGTCACGTATGAATACCACAGTTATTTGTTACAAAACGGTATTTGCAACTACTTGTTGGTAAGAGCCAAACCCATATGGATTTGATAAGGGATTTGAAATGATTCATATTGGATTAAATGCTTTTGATCTGCAGCCTTATTCTTGTGTTCATCAGCAACAACAACACAGTTCTCACCCGATTTGACACATTATTTGGCTGAAACTGAGCTATTTCTCGCTCACCGTCTTACACGCCCACTTCTACAGCCTCTGACGCAAAGGGAGCCAGACTCTGCATTTTCCTGACATTTGTGGAAAACTTCCTGTGCAAGGAAGACAATAACAGGAAGTAGGAAACAGGTGTTCACGCTGGAGGTGAAAGTTCACTGGAAATGGCCCCTCCTTCCTGCAGGAAGTGGCCGCGGGGAGCGTCCAGGAAAAACAGCCGGGCTGTGCGCGTAAATGCTCATGTATGTACAGTATGTGTTTGCCGCTTTTAAGCCTGAATACAGGGCAGTGCGATGCAGAAATAGCCCCAGAATAATAACGCCACAACAAAGCCGCAAGCCATTTATAGCTGATCTCACAAGGGACACAAGGGCTCCGACCCTACAGCTCACTTCTAAACGCCATAATCCAACAATAACAAACGGGAGAGCGTGTTTTACTGCCAATATGAATACAAGACTGATGCAGTAAATAGGGAATACTTCACAGGTTTACACATATAGAGAGAGGGCGGTCTGTGCTTCGGCCTTTATTTAAGCAATAAGGTACGAGAGGCTGTACTTTATCGTCCAATAATGGTTATAACAGTTGTGGGGCGTTGTTAGGCCTGAGGCGCAACGGAGGGCCGGCAACCCTCAAACTGTTACATTATTGAAGATAAAGTAGTGCCTCAACTACCTTATTGCTTTTAAAATACTGTTACCAGCGATTTTGTAAATAGTAAGTAAATAGCTGCCTTTCAGCAAATAGTGTTAGCCACCAAACGTTGTGTTTCTCATTTCAGTGGTTCAGAGAAAAATAGTCCATGTGTGTGCGTGTGAACAGCATTGGGTCTTGCAAGGTCTCGCACCATCTCATTAATTCGCACCGCTCATGATGTCCACTTTAATTGTCCGGTTGCGAAAGCTTGCATTGCCCAAAACCGATCATTTGTGGGATTTACGGTGTTTTTCGGCAATCGGCCCCAAGGTCGCGCAAAGTCTAACATGTTACTTTGAGTGCGCAGTGATATGGAACGCTCGGGTCCATGTGAATAGCAACTGTACATTATCGCTCAATTACCCCCCGTGACTCACTCTCAACCAATCAGAACGCTGGATTTCATCTACCCGTATTATATTTACCAATAACTGATGTTGATGCGCAGCTTTTCTACAAAAACAGACTGCAGCGTGGTCACCGTGTGTCACCCGTTTAAATAAACCCAACATATCCTTTGTGTCAGCATGTTGTGCACCAATCAAATGGCTTCATTGAGAGCACATGTCACCCTTAAAACCATGAATATCTAATTCAAATTGTAACATTGGAGCGTGCTGCGTTGCTGTGATGACGTTTTACGAGAGCGGCGGAAACTCCTCTTCCATATGTCATGCCTGCACTCATTAGTCAAAGAATCTCTCTCCATAAATTGTCTCTCTCCGCTGTCCTGTCGTGTGGCCTTGAAGTGTGCCGTGGCGTCTTCTGCACCCGCCGCCCGGCAGCTGTCGGTCAGTCACTCAGCCGGCCGCGCCGCTCCCTCTCTGACTCGCCCTTGTCTTCCTCTCTGTCTCTATATCATCCACTCGACACGCACACACTCTCTCCATCGTCTCCCGCGTTGTCTTTGTCTTTTTCCTCAATCACGTGGTCTTACGAATCTCCCTCCTTCTCTCTCTCTCGCTCTCTCTCTCTCGCCCTTCCCAGGGGTTAACCAGCACCACATGCTGCAACAGCCGCACTCTTGACAAGAAGAAGAACAAGAATAATAAGAAGGGGGAGATATTTTATCCACAACCCCGAAATAGCAGACAATTGACGGGCCACACCACGCAGGACATCAGTTCTTCTTTCATGGGCACGCCGTGTGTGGTGTGTGTTTCAGAGATCCATTCATCACATCAAAGCGACTTTGTGTTTGTGTGTCTACAATGACAGCCATGCTTTTAAATACCACGACCTCTCAGCTTACTCACAGCCCGCTGACCTTAAATGTATGTGTGACCGAGGGTGTGCGTCGGGATGTGTTACTTGCATTACTTTTCCCTGATTACACTTTGTGGTGACAAAGTATGTTCATATTTTGTTTTTACTTTTACATTGCTTTTTTTGTCATATTGTCTTACATCATTCTGTATTAAGGAAAAACAATTCATTTGAAACCATACGCAGTATAATATTTCTTTACTGCCGTTTAACATATTCATGATTATAATATTTTCCTTATATTCAACTATAGTATGGAAATAAAACATTTCACACTTTTACATGTCACAATTATATGTATGCATATATTTTTTTCACAAATGCAACATCTTTTGCTTCATTACCTCAAATACATCATGCTCATATTGTCGTGGATAACTTACAAACATCAATTAGGTTTTGAATGATGCTCGGCTGTCAGAACTGTCTGTGAAAGGTCGAGCCATCTGTTATTTTGGTCCGGGGCTTTCTGTCTGTCTGTGTGTGTCTGTGTGTGTGTGTGTGTGTGTGTGTGTGTGTGTGTGTGTGTGTGTGTGTGTGTGTGAACCTGTGCAAATCTGTATGTTTTCAAATTGCTACACAAATCCATTTAGTCGCCTCACTGACGTGTTATAAATAGCCTAAAGAGCAACAAGGGGATTCGCCCTCTATTATAAGTGTCTAAATATCAGCAGCTATTAGCCTGCTTGTCTCCCTGCGGCTGCTCGCCTCGTGCAAAACAGAAATTCTCATCTGTCAGTCAGCCGCAGGCTCAGACGCTCACGATGCAGACGATACAAACAGAGAACCATTTTTTTTTTTAGCATAGTTTAGCACAAAAAGCTAACTGTCCAAAATCTGATCAGTGCAGGGGGAACCCTGTCTCTCACACAATATAAGCTGGGATGTACTCCGGTCCCCCAGCGGCCCTCTAAGGGACATAGAAGCTTGTAAATCTTTAATTATAGTTATCGGTACTTGATGCAATATTGTCTGTTTCTGAACGGTGACTTCCTGGACTCCACGTTGGTTGAATCGCAACTACAACTGGAGTTTGGTGTGGTTATAAAACAATTTGACGGATCTCCACAGAGACCTGGCCTCAATCACATCGAGGGATGAACTACGGGATTACACAGCAGAGGCGAAAGAATGACCTGTAGGTGTGATATCTGGATGTACACATTCATGCGATGAAAAAGTAGTTCCTTCCCTGCATTAAAATACGAAAAAGCAAACACAGATGAACAAGACAGAGTCTGTGCAAACAATAAAACACTGTTATCTGCATGAGCATTAACAAGCCTGTTTGAGTTGAACTCTGTGTGTGTGGGCCGCAGGCTCGAGTGTGGGTGAGTACGCGTAGGCCTTTGTGTGTTGTTCGTGTGTCTGTGTGTGTGTACGTGCCCACCAGGCCTGGTCGAATGCGTCCGTCTGGCCGGCCTGATCAGTCCGTAGCTGCAAATAATGCCAAACCCGACAAATCAATGGGGAGCAATCAAGAAGCGAGAACGATGATAATTACTTAAACAAATGATTATCGATAGCCGCGCTAATTGTCTCGCATCACACGGCTGGTATCGGCACTGAGGCTGTACGATCAGTAGCTCCACATGAACTGTTTCTATGAGCTTCTATGAGCACACACCAAACTCCGTCAAATGGACCTTTGAAAGTTTTGTCCGTCAGTTTCTCTGTAAACAGCTGAGACCTGACAAGCAAAGTGTTGAGAAAGCTTCACAAGTACAAGATTAGGAGATGGCAGAAAAAGTACATCTTATTGTCTCTCGTCCTTTCCTGCATTGTATCCTTAAAGTTTGAGAGTTCTGTCTTGTTAAGTTGTAAAATCAAAATAAATTGTTATAAGAATGAGAAAAAACAGCAAGAAAAAAAAAAAAAGATCTTTAGCAGAAGTGAAATGATATGGGTTCTATTGAATCAAAGAGCACTATGAAAGCTATGCAGAAGCCGAATGCATGCAATATCGTCATTAAGTTTAAGATCTATCAACCAATCAATTTATTTAATAACATAATTAATAATCTTAAACATCTAACAATCTATATGTGACTATATAATAAATGTAAGTGAAAAAATAAGAATCAATAAAATATGGGTAAGTTTATTCTTGTAACGCGTCCAGCACTTGATTATTACCTCCAACAGCGGGAAACTATTCCCAGTAGCGGGTTGATGTGTGTGTGTGTGTGCGGGTGTGTGCGGGTGTGTGTGTGCGTGTGTGTGTGTGTGTGTGTGTGTGTGTGTGTGTGTGCGCTTGTGCGTGTGTGTGTGTGTGGGGGGGGGGGGGCCCTCAGAGTTCATGCCACATGGGGAGCTTACATGTTCACACTGGGTGCCTCCACACTCTCCATTCCTTTCCTCTCCGGTCTTGACCTTTCTCCTTCTTTTCCCTTTTCTTTTTTGCATTCTTGTCTCTGTCCTCGCTCCTTCCCCCTTCATCTCTCACCCCCTTTTCTCCGACACTCCCCTCCCCTTATCTGTTTACACATCTGCATGCCGACATCGTTCATTTCCACTCAGTCGGGAAACCACAGCTCGGCCACAGAGAAGCGCCTGCGGCGTTTCTCCCTCCGAAGGCCGACACTTCGCTCGCACCTCTTCCTCACACCCCCCCCCGGTGCCGAAGGCAGACGCACAAACGACTCACAGACACACACACAGAGACGTAGGACTGAGGGACTAACCTGTTTGACGCGGTCGGGGTTGACGGTGGTCTGTGGCTGCAGGATGCTGACCGGCTCCGTCTTCTGGGTGCTCTGAGGCATCTCCCTCACCTTCTCAGCGATGAAGTCATGGACGCCGTTCAGCGCTTCCACCGTCCCCTGGATCAGACACACGCGCTCTGTCGTCCCTGGGGGACAAGAACAGGTTCGGTTCGTTAGTTTTAAACCCACGGCGTCCAGTAGTTGGCGGAGATGCATATAGCTCATTTGAGGCAATCACGAGAGCTGATATGCAAATATTCATACAAGAGCATGAAAAGGGGTTCATGCACTTTCCTGCAGCGGTGTCACTGGTGAAGAAGTATTGTTCTGTGTGTATTTAAAGATGTTTTCCAAAGTGTCTCAGAGGACAGGTGAAGGTTTGACGCTGTGCAGGATACGCCGTCCCAACTCCAATTTTCAGAATTTTTTGTGTTGATCATGTGCAGTTAAAACAAATAACAACTGCAAGATAAGAAAAGATACAAGGAAACTGCCACGATCGGCACGTAGGAAATACACAGCTAGCAGCGAGTCGTAACAGCAAAGAGGAAAGTAAATGATCAAGAACGAGTCGACAAGTGAGAAATGGGAGCTGAAACATCTAATGTGGTGACGCTCAGCGCCGTTCCACAGCCTCCACATTGCTCACGGCACATTTCAGATTGTTAAAACATTCAAAGAGCACATCCAACACAGGAGCAGATACACGTTTGTCTATGGGGTTTATAATGCAGTTTTTACCAGGGAACTCATTAGACCACTCGAGGGGTTGAGGCGCAAAAAGTAGTCTCGATCAGTGTAAAACACACATAAAGCACCAATGAATATAAACGAAGGCAGTACAAATTGTTATTCTCCACCTGAGAAGCAACAATTTTAACATTCCCGTTTCCACCTCTGAGCAAGTTAAGAACGTTGAGTTCATGTTTCCAGGACGTGTCCAACCAGGAAACACATTTTCTGGTCCAATCAATTGAGCTGAACTCTATTTCACTAATCTAGGACAATTTCAGCACAATGACACATTTTTATGAGGACGTTCTTAGTCCTCAATAAAAGCAAGACCAGTTCAACAAATTCAAACCACTGTTATTAGAGGCATTTGTTTCTTGCTAGTTCCAGGCAGAACTTGTGTGGAAACTCTTGAGTTTTGCTTGTGCGAATAGAAGTCCCTTCGTTATGATAGTTTGCACACCTCTGACAACTTTTGACTTCACAAATCGAATGAAATACAATTAGCAGTGATCTGAAACCACACGTCATGTGTGTTCCTCAACAGCTGGAAAAGAGCACTTTACATGTGTTTCAAGCCAAAACAATGATAAACGTGTCCTGATACGGTGTCTGAAAATGTTGGAGAACCCCGGGAGAGTGAATACGTCGGTGTCGTGTCCAGTGAGGAGGGCCAGTGTTGACAGAGGGACAGACGGACAGAGGAGTATCTAGGCCAACGCAAAGCCTCTCAGTCCTCCGTGTCCCAACAACACACTGACAGTAAATCTCTCTTTGGCTATCGCGCTCTCTCTCACCATTTTAGCACTTATTCTCTCTCAGTGCTTTCCTTTTTTTCCATTTTTGCTTCTCTCATTTCTTTCTTCCTTCACTAACTCCCTTCACCCTCCCTCCCTCCTCTTCCACTCCCTTCCTCCCATGCCTCTCGCCCCCATGACTCCAGGGGGATCTGCTCTTATCTCGGCTCAGCAGCACGTCAGTTAGCACTTCCTGTCTCCTCACGCGGCCCGGCATTGTTGGAGCGGCTCGGTTCGGCCCCGCTCGGCCCTCTGTGGCTGCACTGGGAGCGAGGATAGAGGGATAAAGGCTGCGCAGCGTGTCCGTGGAGGGCGTGGGAGTTAGAAACGGATGGTCGACCTACGCCGGGGTGATGCTGATGTTGGGCCCAATATTCGTTTTTTTGTGGCGTCTCATCAGAGTAAACAAGCTCCGGTAGAAGTCAGGAAGGGAAAGAAACTGATCCTGATGCTGGACACCCCTGGTCCAAAGAAAAAAGTGTGGGCTGGGCAGAAGGCTTGAAACAACACAAGCTAAAAATAAAAACACACCTTACGTCCAGGCATTTTCAACATGTGGCTACCTGGCTGGGCTGAAGGCCCGTTAGCAAATACCCTGATAATAATTCCCACCCCAGTCTGCTGACAGCAACGCCGAAGGGCCTCTGGTGAAGGTCTGTGACTGCGACATCAACTTGTATGCAATGAACTTGTATACAAATGCATGCAAGCCTAAGATTTCAGGTGTAGCCACACTACAAATCTCACTTCTTTAGTGAGTGAGAGTGTGTGTGTGTGTGTGTTTGTCCGTGCTTATACTGAGGAAACTGGGCTTCGCCTCTCCCCGACAGCTGGTGCCCTCTGGGTAATCTGTACCCGACCAATCACAGGCACGGATTAGCAGGCCATTGTCTTGGCATGAGAGCATGATTGTCCCTGTGTGTAGCTTGCGATGTGTGTGTGAGAGAGGAATGCGATCGCAGCAGGAAAGGCCACTCTGTCTGTGGGGATCATGATGAAACCGCTGTGCAGCCGCGCCACAGCAGCAGAGACCCGCCTCATGTGATCACAAAGTATTTACTTGAGATCTATTAATGTTCACATAACACAAAGTATTATTGACGCAATTAGGTTCATACAGCACTGGTTCTCTTTATTATGCAGCGAGCACACGCGGGCACTCGGCCGTGCAAACGTCAAACCAGCGGCCACACCTCCCTCCGTGATCGAGTGTGAGCCCTGCTGGCATGAAACCTGGTCCCCCGTGTGTCTGTCTGTGTCTTTGTCTGTGACTTTGCATCACCGTCATTTGACATTTCAACCGGAGACGTTTTTTTTCCGAAGTCGGGGTGCTGCAGCTGCTGAAGTGAAGTCTGTAATGTTGCTCATGGGAACTTGGAACAACAACCTGCTGTACGGTAAACTCATGCCTTCCACTGCAGGATCATTAAAAAAAACTGTAAGTTGTCATCAATTTCGCATTACTACTTATTTGTTTGTTTTTAATTAATTCCAAGTAAAAAACAGATTTTAAATTCCCAAAACTTTCGGTGACGCCTGCACCGCCGTCCACCCTGAGTCCTCAATAAAATGTGTGGTTCCGTTGCAAAAAAGGATTACCAGGACGAAAGGAACGACGAAGAGCATTTGAAACAATGGCTGACCGATACCAATGAAATGTATACTGCACTTTAAACCACCCTGTCAAGTCCGGAGGAACAACGCAGTTTATTAGTTAGTTTGGGATTATTGGAGATGCACCACAGGAGAAAACATCATTAAAAAATAGATAACGATAGGAAATTAACGCCCACGAGTTTTGGGTCGTTAAAGATATGCGGGATACAAAGAGATAACACGGTTTTAATGCAACTCTTCAGGTTCACTCGCTCACATCAACAGAATCCCTTCAGACGTGATGCAGCCAGATCGTTTGGGTAAATAACTGGCAGACGTTCAGTAAATACAGATAACTGTAAAGGCTTCCAGCTCCTGATGCAGCTTGCCAGTGTCACTCTGGCCTAACCTGCAGAGTCGAGCACAGACTGTACAAGAGGTTCAATTACAGGAGTCTCTTATTTCGACCAGAGAATGATGAGGATTGAAAATGAAAAGCGAGCGTCTGTGAAATTCATAGCAGACGGTGAACATCGGCATCGTCGTCAGGATCCGGGCTGCGGACCCCGGTGGTGGTTTTTATTAAAGTCGAACTTGCATGACTCACTTCTTCCTCCTCCTCCTCCACCTCCTCCTCCCTGATGACCAGAGAGTCACCGGAGGCAGCAGGCAAAGCGCAAAGCGAGCCGCTTCTCCTCTGATTTCTGACTCACAGACACACACAGAAACATATGCGCGCACAGCAACGAGCAGACATTAGAATGGCCCTCGGTGCTAAAAAAGCAAACGCACGTAAACATGTCCGCGATCAAAGCCACTTGATCCTGCAGCGGGAGGGGACGCGTTCGCAGAAGGAAGATTTTTACCCCGGGTTTCGAGGGAATGCGCTTTGTGCTTCGCCACAGACAAAATCTGAAAGGAAGGAAGAAAATAACAATGAACTTGCATCAGTTTCTGGGCTTTCTTGTGGCGCCACAAGGCAGCGAACAGCAGGTTGACACACTGTTGAGTGGAGTAAATAGTTCCGCTTTAATAAAAGTCGAACGTTGGCCTTGTGTCACGCTTGCAGGAACACACAACACCACTGACAAAAGCATTAAGCCTCCCTGCGTAAGAGAAAAGATCATTGTCAAATCCTCATTACGTGCTGGCGTATTCGTGGATGGCAGAAACGTACCCATAGACCGGGCCGAGGGGGCGGTAAAGGCCCATAACCCGCACCGGCTTTAAAGGTCAAATGATGGCCAGAATGTCTCAAATTAAAAAGATGAAAGGGTCCTTTTCCTCGTCACGGAGAGGACCTCTCAGCCAGTGAAAACAGCTAATCATGTACAATATGGTCAAGCTCTCTGCTTGTTATATTTTCCTGACCCTGTTTTGCAATTGAAATGAATATCTTGTCATGAGATATTCTTGACAAGAGTGAAACAACTGTTAAATAAAAGATAGGCCTCATATGAGCTCAGCCGTGGGAATCGAGAGATAAATCTAAGCAGCAGCTAATAACTGGGCCACTATTTACTCGCCGCGTCTTCAAAATTTGGTGACGTTCCTCAACAAAGTCAGAGAGCTTTACATGCCCTGAAAATAAAAGTTATTCCTTCTCGGTTTATTAATGTTGTTTTTCAGCTCAGACACCCGTTTTGAACAGATTGTTGTGACATACATTCTTGCAAAGGGACCCATTTAGAAAAGTTCCTCCCGAGAGTCCTTAAAAAATGCTTGTCGTTTGCGGTCGGCAGCGAGTTTCTCAAACTCAAAATGATTTTTTTCGACAAATAACAGCGGAGGCCAACGCGGCGAGAAGAGACGAGATGTGACAGCGGCGCCAGAGGTCGAGAGTTCACAGGTACGTGACGTTCATGTTCACGCTGCTGTGAGGCGCACAGCGCCTGCCCGATGGAAAGAGAGACAGAGCCACATCCAGAAGGTGTCAAGCACGCGGGGGGGGGGGGGGGGGTGGCAGTCATGAGGAGTGACATCAGGAGAAGGAAGGAGACCAGAGGAGACTAACTGAGAGG